TCTAGGATTACAGGCGTGAGCCACCACGCCCGACCCAGTCCAGCTCTTATCGGACCATTCCTTTCTTAAAATTCTGTCTTGGTTCTAGGGACATTGCTCCAAATGGTTATGTTTCTATCTCTTCATCTATTCCCTCTCATGCTTCTTTGCTGGCCCTACTTTCTCTTTCTATCCTTTAAACATTTGTTTCTCAGGTTTCTGTCTTCAGCCTTTTCTTCTAATAATTTGTTTGACAGAGTCTTGCTCGGTTACCCAGGCTGCAGTGTGCTGGCTCATTCACAGCTCACTGCAGCCTCAACTTCCCAGGCTCAAGCCATCCTCTCACCTCAGCCTCTTGAGTAGCTGGGACCACAGACACATCCTACCACCATACCTGGCTAATTTTTTTTGGTGGAGATGGGATCTCACTATGTTGCCCAGGCTATTCTTGAACTCCTTGGCTCAAGCAATCCTCCTGCCTCAGCCTCCCAAGTAGTTGGAATTATGGGCATGAGCCACCAACCACATCCAGCCTTTAAAAAAAAAATTGTCTTGTAGAGACAGGTCTCACTATGTTGCCCAGGGTGGTCCTGAACACCTGGCCTTAAGTGATCCTCCTACCTTAGCCTTCCAAAGGGTTAGGATTACAGGTGTGAGCCACCACATCTGGCCCTAATAGTATTAAATGTTATCTTTGCCTATTGTTACCTCTAATTCTATTTGATTCCTTTGGGATTTCTAGGTATAAAATCATGTCTAAAAATCGTATTTTTAGTTCTTTCTAAATATTTATGCCATATTAGTTTATGCCATATTCAGTTCTTTCCAAATATTTATGTCAAATATTTATGCCATATTTCTTATGATAATCAGGATTTCTAATCAATGTTAAATATTGCAGTTTATTTTTAAAACACTTTTGTTTTCTTCCTCATTTTATGGGGAATGAAATGATTTTCCTTGAAATGTGATTTTTAGTTTTAGGTAATCTTTACTTAATTTTAAAAATTCAGATATAATTCATATAAAATTCACCATTTTGTGTGTGTGTGTGTGTGTGTGTGTGTGTGTGTGTTTTTTTTTTTAAACAGGGTCTCACTGTTGTCACCCAGGCTGGAATTCAGTGGTACAATCTTGGCTCATTGTAACTTTCACCTCCTGGGCTCAGCCTCCCAAGTAACTGGGACTTCAGGTGTCCATCACACCAGGCTAATTTTTGCTTTTTTTTGGTAGAGATGGGGTTTTACCATGTTGCCCAGACTGGTCTCAAACTCCTGAGCTCCAGTGATCCACCTACCTCAGCCTCCCAAAGTGCTGGGATTACAGGTGTGAACCACTGTAAATAAGCAAATTCACAATTTTAATGTGTACAATTCAGTGTTATCTTTTATTTTACTTTATTTTTGAGACAGAGTTTTGCTCTTGTTGCCCTGGCTGGAGTGCAATGGCACAATCTCAGCTAACCGCAACCTCTGCCTCCCAGGTTCAAGCAATTCTCCTCCCTCAGTCTCCCTAGTAGCTCGGATTACAGGCACCTGCCACCATGCCTGGCTAATTTTTGTATTTTTAGTAGAGACAGAGTTTCATCATGTTGGCCAGGCTGGTCTCGAACTCCTGACGTCAGGTGATCTGCCTGCCTCGGCCTCCCATAGTGCTGGGGTTACAGGTGTCAGCCACTGTGCCTGGCCCAACTCAGTGTTTTTAAATATATTATGTTGTTCCTGTAATCCCAGCACTTTGGAAGGCCGAGGCAGGTGGATCATGAGGTCAAGAGATCAAGACCAACCTGGCCAACATGGTGAAACCCCATCTGTTCTAAAAATACAAAAATTAATTGGACATGGTGGCGTGTGCCTGTAGTCCCAGCTACTCGGGAGGCTGAGGCAGGAGAATTGCTGCCTCAGCCTCAACCCGGGAGGCAGAGGTTGTAGTGAGCTGAGATCCCGCCACTGCACTCCAGCTTGGTGCCTGGCAACACAGCGAGACTCTGTCTCTGTATTATGTTGTTGAACTATCTAATTCCAGAACATTTCTATCACCTGCAGAAGAGACCCTATACCTATCATCTGTCGGTCTCAATTTCTCCCTCCCCAACCCCTCAAAAACCACTAATCTACTTTCTCTCTTCATTGATTTGTCTGTTCTGGGCTCCATGCGCAGTGGCTCATACCTGTAATCCCAGAACTTTGGGAGGCCAAGGCAGGCGGATCATGATGTCATGAGATCGAGACCATCCTGGCTAACACAGTGAAACCCCATCTCTACAAAAAATACAAAAATTAGCTGGGCATGGTGGCACGCACCTGTAGTCCCAGCTACTTGGGAGGCTGAGGCAGAATTGCCTGAACCTGGGAGGCAGGAGTTGCAGTGAGCCAAGATTGCGTCAGTGCACTCCAGCCTGGGCAACAGAGCAAGACTCCATCTCAAAAAAAGAAAAAAAAAAAAAAAAGATTTGTCTATTCTGGACATTTAATTAATTTGCCTTTTCCCCACCTTGGCCTTTTTGCCCAACGTACTCTTAGGTGAGGACTTTATAATTACCTCCTTATTGTCCTTTCATCCTTTCCCTATTTAGGTAGCAGCCCTTACTTAAGGTTGGGTGTTACTGACCTTACCTCCAGTCAGGAGAAAGCCTTAAGTAGTGATTCCATCACATCCACCTCACCTCTACAATTAGTTCAGACATAAGCATATGACCTAACTTCTTGATCCAATCAGAGTGGTGCTCAGGATGTGTTTGTAGAGGAATGGAGGTTGACTTACATAGAGTTAATGCCCAGATTTTAAGTGTACAGTTTGTTGAATTTTTACATTTATATATACACCTGTGTAACCACCATGCAGATTAAGATATGGAACATTATGGCACTCCAGATACTTCATGCTTCCTCCCAATCAGTATCTTCACTCGAAGAATAACCAATAACATGATCCAAAGCTCAAAAGGTTTGTTCATAGACTGAGAAAAGAGTCACTGGCTCTATTCCCCTGGATATGGGTAAATAGGTATGCAAGCCTAGGAGCTTCAGAAAATTAACTGGCTACCCAAGTGAAGCCAGTCTGAGAATAAAAAGAACACGTGGGGCCAGGCATGGTGGCTCAAGCCTGTAATCCCAGCACTTAGGGAAGCCGAGGCGGGCGGATCACAAGGTCAAGAGATCAAGACCATCCTGGTCAACATGGTGAAACCCCGTTGCTAATAAAAATACAAAATAATTAGCTGGGCATGGTGGGGCATGCCTGTAATCCCAGCTACTCAGGAGGCTGAGGCAGGAGAATTACCTGAACCCAGGAGGTGGAGGTTGTGGTGAGCCGAGATTGTGCCATTGCACTCCAGCCTGGGTAACAAGAGCAAAACTCCTTGTCAAAAAAAAAAACAAAAACTGTTTTTCTTTGCAGAGAAACAAAACCACAGCTCTAACAACAGTGACTTTTTACATTAAATCAATCCTAAAGCTATACTACCTTTGAACTTATCAGTCTCCAGTAAGCTATTTTATTGTTTAAATGGCTTAAACTGATTTTTTTCTCAACTCAGAATTTTTAACCCGAGTTAGAACCTTAGCTCTACCTCTTACTTGGTATGTGGTAGTATATATAACTCTTGAGCAAGTTACTTAATTTCTTTAAGCCTTAGTTTTCTGATCTCTAAAAATGGGAGGCTATCTTCCATATAAGATTATTTTATGAAATACACATAATACCCTACATACAGTATATATATACTAAATATGTAAATATCCTCATAGATGTTAAACACTCAATAGTAATATAATTTTTAATAATAAACATGTTGGCCAGGCACGGTGGCTCACACCTGTAATCCCAGCACTTTGGGAGGTCAAGTTGGGCAGATCACAAGGTCAAGAGATTGAGACCATCCTGGTCAACATGGTGAAACCCCATCTCAATAAAAATAATAATAAACATGTCTAAAGACTTAAGTCTTCTAACAATGGAATGAGATCCCTTCTAGATAATAAATCCCAAATAACTAGAAACACTAAGCATCACCTGGATAATCCTCCTTTCAGTGATGTTCTAAACGTGTTCCTGCTTTAATGGGAGACAGATTAACTCTGAGATCCCTTCTAACACTAAAAACCTGTAAAACACTTACTGATTTGAACACTGCCCTGAGCAATGGCAAAATGGAATAAAGAGACTCTTGGCCCAGAAACAGGTAAAAATAATATCCAATTAAAGTTAATGGTTCACAAGAGAAGCAACATCAGTAGAATGGGCAATGGAAACAATACTTCTCAATTAGTTGCATTAACAGCTCTGAAGATGTCCTTACTCCACAGAGAGGCCTTTACATATGCATCAGGGAGGGTGAGGGTAAAATTAGGACTCTAATCAGGCAGTAGAGGTTGCAGGAAGGGTGGAAGCTCTAATGATAAAGTCAAGAAATGAGTCAGATTCAGGGGCTGCAGAAAGGGTAGAAAGCTAAGGAGCACACACTCCACTGGCATGAGCTAACTAATTTTTCTTTTTTAGACACGGAATCTTGCTATGTTGCTCAGGCTGGAATGCAGTTGCTGCAGCCTCAAACTCTTGGCCTCAAACAATCCTCCTGCCTCAGCTCATAGCTGGGACTAGAGGCATGCATCACCACAATCAGCTTGAACTCTTTTCCTTGACCTTACACCTTTCAATATCCCTTATCTCAGAGACAGACTACTGAGCAGCTACCAGCAGTATTAAACACTTATACTTTTTTTTTTTTTTAAAGACAGAGTCTCACTCTGTTGTCCAGGCTGGAGTGCCACAATCTTGGCTCACTACAGCCTCTGCTTCCCAGGTTCAAATGATTCTGCTGCCTCAGGTTCCCAAGGAGTTGCTGGGATTACAAGCATCTGCCACCACACCAACCTCATTATTTTTTTTTGTATTTTTAGTAGAGATGGGGTTTCACCATGTTGGCCAGGCTGGTCTCAAACTCCTAACCTCAGGTGATCCGTCCGCCTCTGCCTCCCAAATTGCTAGGATTATAGGCATGAGCCAGCATGCCGGGCCTAGACACTTATACTTTTTAATTTTAATAAACAGACATTGTTCCATCTGAACAGGCATTTATATTTTGAAATCTCTATTTCCAACAATTCTCTTATCTTTTGCTGGGCCCAAGGATATTGAAGCCATCCATCCCTTTATTTGTCTTCCAAGTTCATCAGTGCCTGTACTGCAAAGGAAACAGACTGTGAGGCTTGAGAGCTAAGAATAGTCAAAATATATAAATTTATATAAATGTTTGGTGAAGACCTTGCTTTTCTGGGTTCCCACGCAAGTCTTTTCTTATCTCTAAATTAAGCCATATGCTTCTGTGTACTCTTTGCCATAGACAAGTTCATCAGGATTAAAGAAACTACCTTGCTACATTTTCCTTCTTTTCACCCTGTCCTCTCCAGAGAATAAGTGGGAAGCCAGGGCTAAGACTGACTAGGAGGAACAGGATTAAATTTAGGCAATATTTTGAAGTAAGCAAAGCCTGTCTTTCACATCTTGCTCCAAATTCTGTGTTCCAATGTTGTTATAAATTCCTCTTATTGCCCACCTGGGCCCACCACACACAAACACACAGTCCTCCTCCCTAATTTCTTATTTTCACATTGAGTTGATTTCAACTAGGTATGAGGGTGAAAACCCAGATAACACATTTTAAATTGCAAAAATCTGCCCCTAACTCTTCTGTGGTTTTTTGTTTTGCTTTGTTTTGTTTTTACTTTTAGAGAAAAATTTTATTAATCTAAATTAGTCATGGAGTGGTGAAATTTAGGAAAAATAACTGAATAGATAGTTATCAGTTTACATCAAACTCTGCTATTTAAATCACACACTTCTCTCTATAAGGGTGACATTAGAAGGGGCAGATACAAACAGAAGTTTATAATTCATAAACCTCTTTAGGGAGTTAGGACAGTGAGCACTTGAGGGCCTCCTGCTCACTGTCTGATCCCCATAGCTCTCCAGCTTGAGCCTTAGGCCCTGCAGCTCAAGTCTGAAATGCAATCTTCAGAGAGAACAAACGTCCAGAAACTGGTGGGCTGCCCAAATCAAGCAAAAGCCTACCTTGTCCTAATTCCCAACAACTGGGATTAGACATTCTCTCCTGGGGAAATAAGCTCTCATACCTCATAGGATTTGGGCATCCCCTGCTAAAAAAGCAGTTTCTAGGTTCTCTCTCTGTTAAAGAAAAGTGGGACACATTCCCAGAATGTGACATACCAAATCAAGAATTTGCCCATTTTAGGTGTAGGCAGAAATTGAAAAACTGAGATGCCAGAATAGTGGACACCCTCCTCCTTCTCCACAGCTATATATGCTATATACATTCCCATGGTCCCCATGACTGCCCCAACTCCATACCTGCAAATTCTTGTAATTTCTTACGCTCCTCTAGGTTATACTGAAGCTTTTCTAGCAACTCAAAATATCGGAAGAGTGAGTCTCTGGGCCAAACACGGTCATCCTGATCCATTTCCATTAGTCCGGGCAGATTCTCGTGCACAAGAGTCTCCCAGTCCAAATGACCTGTAGGGAGGAACGCTTCAGAAAACCATGTCTAGATTTGTAAAAGCTGGGTAAGAGCTGATAAATCCTATGGTGTGGGTGGAAAGGTGGGGTGAAAAGAGGTAACAGGAAACAAGGAGGGAAAGAGTCCATTAGCAAGAAACTACTTTTTACAATGAGCAAAGAGGGCCACAGCCACACTTACCGAAAGTGAAGAAGTACATGGGAAATTAAGAAGCACAAAGAAAGTAATTAAGACCAGAAAATTGGAACGCAGATATAGTAGGAGAGCTCCACTTAAGACTAAAATGTCTTATAAAGGAGTCTGAATTCAAATGGGAAAAACTCATTATTCTGTGTACTCTTTGCCATTATTAGAGCTCTTCTACTCACCAACAGATTCAGAAAATCTGGATTCAGAAGAGGAAGTACTGGAGGAGGATGTGGAGAAAACACTGGAGGAAGACTGGTACTCTTTCTTTTCTGACAAGGTCTCTTCAGGTTTTGAAGCAGATGTTACTACATCCGCTTCAGTGGCCTCATAAACAGACTCTACTTCGGAAACTTCTGATAAGTCCGAACTTTCCTTTTGTTGAATAGCTCCTCTTGAACTGAAAGGAGAAATGTACGGATTCACAAACATTTACAAGATATGACTAGACCATTCATTATTCTAGTTCTGGCCCTGACCACCCGCTAAAGCTGGGGCATAAGACAATGAGGGACAAACTACTCCCAAACTCTAAACTCAGGCACTTCCAACATCAATCATTCATGTGTCATCCTTAACTCTTCACTTCCCTCCCATATCCAGTCCATCAAGAAATCCTGCTGATTCTACTTTCAAAATGTATCTTTTCTCACTAACTCACTGGTACCACTCTGGTCTAAGCTGTCATCATTTCTTGTCTGGGCAGCAGCATAGTCTCCCAACTGATCTCTCTGCTCCTTCCCTTGTTCTTCTATCAACACAGCAACCAGAGTAATCTGTCTTAAATGTAAGTTACTTCACTCCTCTGTTCTGCTTCCCATTTCAAAGTCCCTACAATGGCACCCATAACCCTACAGAATCAGGTCACCATTATCTTTCTGACTTCATTTCCCAGCAGTCTTCCCCCTACTCACTCTACTACAGTCACAATGGCCTCCTTGCTGTTTCTCAAACACCAAGCATGCTTCTATCTTAGGACCTTTGCATTAGCTGTTTCCTCTGCCTATAACACTCTTCTTACAGACATCCACATGGTAATCCCCTTACCTCCTTCAAGTCTTTTCTCACATTACCTTTTCAATGAGGTCACCCTGATTGCCCTGTTTAAAACTACAACCCATCTGTGATCCCACCTTCTACCCCCAACCCCCCTTCACGTATTCTACTTTTAATTTTCCCATAATGCTTATATTTTAACATATTAATTTACTTAATATGTTCGTTGGTTATTAATCTCTTTACCACTAATACATAAGCTCCATGAAGCAGGTATTATTGTCTATTTTGTTCACTGACACAGCCCAAGCACCTACAAGTATTCAATAATTATATGTTCTGTATTTTTTTGTGTGTTTTTGGGGGCAAGGTCTTGCTCTGTCACCCAGGCTACAGAGCAGTGGCACAGTCATGGCTAACCACAGCCTCAACCTCCCAGGCTCAAGCGATCCTCCCACCTCAGCCTCTTAAGTAGCTGGGACCACAGGTGCACACCACCACATCCAGTTAATTTTTGTTTGGAGACAGGATTTTGCCATATTGCCTAGGTTAGTCTTGAACTCCTGAGCTCAAGTGGTCTGCCCACCTCAGCCTTCCAAAATGCTAGTATTATAGGCATGAGCTACTGAGCCTACCTTGCTAAAATTTTTTTTGAGATAGGGTCTTGCTCTGTTGTCCAGGCTGGAGTACAGTGGTGTAATCATGTCTCACTGCAGCCTTGAACTTCTGGCTTGAACTTCAAGCAATCCTCTTGCCTTTGCCTCTCAAAGTGTTAAGATTAAAAGTATAAGGCCGGGCGCGGTGGCTCAAGCCTGTAATCCCAGCACTTTGGGAGGCCGAGGCGGGTGGATCACAAGGTCGAGAGATCGAGACCAACCTGGTCAACATGGTGAAACCCCGTCTCTACTAAAAATACAAAAAATTAGCTGGGCATGGTGGCGCGTGCCTATAATCCCAGCTACTCAGGAGGCTGAGGCAGGAGAATTGCCTGAACCCAGGAGGCGGAGGTTGTGGTGAGCCAAGATCGCGCCATTGCACTCCAGCCTGGGTAACAAGAGCGAAACCCCGTCTCAAAAAAAAAAAAAAAAAAAAAAAGATTAAAAGTATAAGCCATTACATCTGGCCAATAATTATTTGTTAATGAGTGAATGAGTTTATACTTCTGCATTTTTTTCCCATTGCTAAACACTTGGGGTCTAGAATTGTATATGTTTCATTGAAGGCACCCTGTATTAGTGTCCTGTAGCTGCCATAACAAATTACTATAAACTTAGTAGGTTAAAACGACAGAAATGTATTCCCTTACAATTCTAGAGGCTAGAGTCTGAAATGAAGGTGTTGGCAGGGTCATACTCCCTCTGGAGGCTCTGGAGAAGGTTCCTTGCCTCTTCTACCTTCTGGCAGCTGCCTGGCATTCCTCAGCTTCCCATGGCTTGTGGTGGCATTAGCCCCAACCTCTATATCCATTTTCACATTGCCTTTTCCTATTCTTTGTGACTTCTCATCTTCCATCTCTTTGTTATTGGATTTAAGACCTACCTGGATAGTCTAGGATGATTTCATCTCAAGATCCTTAACTTAGGATCTTTTTTTCCCAAATAAGGTCACATTCACAGGTTCCAGGGATGTAGGACATGGACACATTATTTTGGGTGCCACTAGTCAACCTACTACTATATGCAGTTATTGAATGAAGGCTCTCAAAGCCAAGCTTCATTTTTAGTTTTCTACCCTCTCATCCTTCATGTGTTTCTATCCCAGTTCACATATATATTCCTAACCTGTCATCTGTTTTGCCATGAGTTGACTTCAGTGCCTCATGTGACACGTTTTTTCTCCTGCAAAGCAAAAAAAATCAAGAGAGTAAAGACGGTTATATTCAAGCAAAAGTGTGGTAAGAAAAAAAAAGAATTAATATCAAAGTGAAGAAAACTAAACAGGGAAAACAAATCGTAGTCGAGGGGTGAAAAAGAATAGAGGATTCCCCACAAAGGATGAAGAATCAGGCAATATTCTAGAGCTAGAGAATTCTTATCCCTGGGGGCAAATCTTCTGTCACAAAGGGAAAACTGGGGTCAAGGAGTAGAAACAAAAAATGAACTCAAGAAACCCTTGAGAAGAAACATTGGAGTTTAAAATGGAGAAGCAGACCTCTGGATAATCTGCCGCTTGAACATGTCAGCTTTGACCTGAACCTCCCGATGCGCCATCTCCTCATTCAGCTCTTTCCTGATATTCTGAAAGTTAGTAACTGCCGCAAAGGACCATTAGAAGTTGGAAGATGGTAATGACTAGACCTGGGAAGAAGGCTTGGGTGGGGAGAATCCAAGTGAAATATCCAATCCAGAACCCAAGCCTTCCTGCTACAGTAGGTTCTTTCAACCCATAAGCCACCAATCCCAGCTTTCAGAATAATTTCTTCCCAACCACCCTTCCCAAACAAGTTTCACCTCCTCTATGCTTACCCATCATGGCTACTATGATATTTCGAAAGATAATGGAGCCAAGCAACAACCAAAGGATGACATAGATGCTGCTGAAGATGCGACTGACTTCAGACACCTTCCAGACATCCTGAAGCAGTGCATACCAGTGATCCAAGGTGAAGAGAATGAACACTGTCACTAGGGAATTCAGGAGGTCCCTAAAGAAGAAGGCATGTGAATAGACAGAAGCAGAGATTTAAACCTTTCAAAAATGGTACCTGTATTTTTTTTTTTTTTGGAGACAGTTTTGGTCTTGTTGCCCAGGCCGGAGTCCAATGGCGCGGTCTTGGCTCACTGCAACCTCCAACTCCTGGATTCAAGAGATTCTCCTGCCTTAGCCTCCAGAGTAGCTGGGATTATAGGCACCTGCCGCCACACCTAGCTAATTTTTGTATTTTTAGTAGAGACGGGGTTTCACCAAGAAAAATAAAGCATTTCTTTGTAGTTTCTTCTGATTTTTGGCTCCTTTTCTTCCATACTCAATTTTTAGCTAATCATTCTTCGGTTTGTAGTTATTTTATTCTTTTTTTTTTTTTTTTTTTTTTTTTTTTTTTTTTTTGAGACAGAGTCTTGCTCTCTTGCTCAGCCTGGAGTGCAGTGGTGCAATTGACTCACTGCAATCTCCGCCTCCAGGATTCAAACGATTCTCCTGTCTCACCCTCCTAAGTAGCTGGGATTACAGGCATGCACCACCATGCCTGGCCAATTAGTAGAGATGGGGTTTCACCATCTTGGCCAGGCTGGTCACAACCTCCTGACCTAAGGTGATCCACTGGTCTCAGCCTCCCAAAGTGCTAGGATTACAGGCATAAGCCACCGGGCCCAGCCAAAATTCTCCTTTATCATGAATAATCTATGACTACCTCTCATTATTCCATTAGTTCTGGAGTATAATAAATACTCAATAAATAGGGACTGACTGAATTTTTAAAAAATGAATGAATCATCAACTAGACAGTTTTCTAATTTTTTTTTTTTTTTGAGACAGAGTTTCGCTCTTGTTACCCAGGCTGGAGTGCAATGGTGCGATCTCGGCTCACCACAACCTCCGCCTCCTGGGCTCAGGCAATTCTCCTGCCTCAGCCTCCTGAGTAGCTGGGATTACAGGCACGTGCCACCATGCCCAGCTAATTTTTTGCACTTTTAGTAGAGACGGGGTTTCACCATGTTGACCAGGATGGTCTCGATCTCTTGACCTCATGATCCACCCGCCTCGGCCTCCCAAAGTGCTGGGATTACAGGCTTGAGCCACCGTGCCCGGCCCCATTTTTCAAAAGAGATAACTGAGTCATAGTAACCAAGCTTAACCACTGGAGTGTACGGCCATTTAAAAATGGCTGATGACGGCTGGGTGCGGTGGCTCAAGCCTATAATCCTAGCACTTTGGGAGGCTGAGGCGGGTGGATCACGAGGTCAAGAGATCGAGACCATCCTGGTCAACATGGTGAAACTCCGTCTCTACTAAAAATACAAAAAATTAGCTGGGCGTGGTGGCACGTGCCTGTAATCCCAGCTACCCAGCAGGCTGAGGCAGGAGAATTGCCTGAACCCAGGAGGCGGAGGTTACGGTGAGCCGAGATCATGCCATTGCACTCCAGCCTGGGTAAAGAGAGTGAAACTCCGTCTCAAAAAAAAAAAAAAAAAAAAAAAAAAAAAAAGGCTGATGACAGTGTGGTTTGAATTTGCAAAACCCAGAATAAACCTGGAATTAGCTACCTTACCCTCAAGATCAGAGTTAGTATCACTCACTATTCTTTTGCTTTCTCTTTCCCTCTTCCTATTGTGTTCTATTTCAGTTTCTTAGAATACACTACACTTCTTTTTTTTTTTTTTTTTTTTTTTTTTTTTGAGACGGAGTTTCGCTCTTGTTACCCAGGCTGGAGTGCAATGGCGCGATCTCGGCTCACCGCAACCTCCGCCTCCTGGGTTCAGGCAATTCTCCTGCCTCAGCCTCCTGAGTAGCTGGGATTACAGGCACGCACCACCATGCCCAGCTAATTTTTTGTATTTTTAGTAGAGACGGGGTTTCACCATGTTGACCAGGATGGTCTCGATCTCTTGACCTCGTGATCCACCCGCCTCGGCCTCCCAAAGTGCTGGGATTACAAGCTTGAGCCACCGCGCCCGGCCGGTCTCGATCTCTTGACCTCATGATCCACCCGCCTCGGCCTCCCAAAGTGCTGGGATTACAGGCGTGAGCCACCGCGCCCGGCACACTACACTTCTTACATACTATACTTTAGCCAAGCTTCCTGGTTTCTTAGCCAAATTCACTCCCCTCACCCAGCCATCCCCCAGCTCTGCTTACGAGAAGAACATATGGTATTCCAGGTCCTGACGAGGTGAACGGGTGTACTCTGCAAAGAAGTAGACACCAGCCACAGCAAAAATGTAGAAGAAGATGAGCAGCAGCATCAAGAGGAAGGTCATGCTCTAGAGGCCATGACCTCAAGTCAGAAGTGGGCCAGACTAGGCTGATCTCCACCAACACCCCATTCAAGCCCACCTGGCAATCCCCCACCAAACCCTCACTTGTACTCCTGAGCCCAGTCATCTTTGAACCGTGGGAGCTGGCCCCAGCCCCTTCTGATCCAATAACATTTCATAGGATGTTTCATTGCCTTCTTTGACCCACCCAGATTTGTTTCATATTCTATGTTAAGCCCCCATATTTATCTACCTTGCCCACTCCTTTAGTTTGCAACAGTCAAATCACCTTGAGGGCCCTGACCAGGGCCAAAATAATAACTCGAATTTGACGAAATCGTGCAAAGAGTTTGAGTGACCTCAGCACCCGGCAGATCCTCAGAAACTGAAGCCACACCGGTTGGCCTGTTACCCCTGCCAACAACACAACTTCAGGAAGCAAGGACTGTAGAAAACACACAGTTTATGAGTAAAATATACCGCCAAGCACCCAAGCACAGTTATACCTTCTTCATCTCATTCTCTTCGCTGTTCCCTTGGCATTATCCCTTGAATAGCATCCTCTGATAATTTTTCCATTCAGCCTTTCTATATTAAGTTGCTTAAACACTGTACTTCAACTTGTTCAGATATATAAGGGGGATAAAATTCATGGTTATTTAATTGGGTTGTTGTGGAGCATAAACAAGATAATGTAAGTAAAACACTTAAAATAGTGCCTGGTACTTAGTAAGTACAAGGTTACCAGCAGATGTTATTTATTGTTGGCACTGATGTGTGGTTAGACTACCTTGCTCCTAATACCAACAATTCCTGCAATGACTGATGTTTAGTTTTAGGGGGAAAAATCAAAAGAAGTCAGGTAAATTTTTGTTTCTTCCTTTTATGTTAACTTTTCCTGTCCTTTCAATTCACCTAGGCACCTTCTTCATCCCAATAAACAAACCCTCAGGATCTCTATCCTTACCAACATGGTAACAACAAAGTCAAAGACATTCCAGGCACTCTTCCAGAAACGGGAAAAGCTGGATAGCCACATAAGAATGATCTCCAGGATGAAAATAAACAAGATAAACCAAGCTGCCACCTCCAAGGTCAGCTTCAATGGCCACAGTTTTGTATTTGTGGATTCCAGCAATTCTGTGAGGATACAGCAAAAGAGGAATAAAAGTTAAGGATGCTGGAAACTGAATGATGGAGAATGATCACTTATAAACCACAGTTTTGTCCACTACTTTCCATTTTTCTTTGAGTTTCTCTTCCTAACACTGTTGCTTCAACCTGTGAAATACTGGGAAGGACAGAATTGACCATAAAACAAAGCCACAGCTCATCATTGATATAGTTATGTCTACCCAGCTATAAGTCACTTCCTATCCACTCTGGGGGGGTCACACAGCCATTAAGAGACTGCGCTCTTTAATTACCTCTACCCCCAATCCCCTACACCTATCTACTGTACTGTTATCTCAGTTCCAAAGTTCACAAGAAAGCAATGGATCTTGAGAACAGAATAAAAATACATGGCCATGATATCTGAAGTACTTTATAAAAAATGCAAAAACAAAAAGCTAGATTCGTTGGAGAATATCGAATTATAAAAATAAATCACTTGGTTCTTTGTTAGTTTTCTTTTAAAACTTTTCCTTTATTCTCTGCCTAAAATTGGTTTTGTTCTGCAAAACAAACTGAATGCATACTTCCTCTCTAGAACCCTATTATTTATTAATTGCTATTCCTTAATTCATTGCCTTTCTCTTTCAACCTTATTCTCTTTTGTACAATTAATGGACATATACCATGCTCTAGAAAAAACAAAACAAAACACTGAGATTAAAATAGACTTAAGAGCTAAATAGGAATCAACATTGTGGTACTCTGGCTTTAAAGTCATCCTGATGTTGAACTGGATCCAAACAAAAAGAACAGAGCCATACTTCAATCATTCCTAGAATTTTACAGAGGTTGATCCCTTCTAACAACCAGTGGAGTCACACTATGATTATTCCTATGCTTATTTTGAGACAGGGTATCACTCAGTCACCCAGGCTGGAGGAGTGCAGTGGCACAATCATAGTTCACTGAAGCCTCGATCTTCTGGGCTCAAGGGAACCTCCCATATCAGCCTCTGGGTAACTGGGACCACAGGCACATGTCACCATGCCCAGCTAATTTTTTCTTTAAATTATTTGTGAAGATGGGGTCTCCCTATGCTGCCTAGGTTGGGCTCAAACTCCTAGGCTCAAGTGAGCCTCCCATCTTGGTCTCCCAAAGAGCTGGACTTACAGGCGTGAGCCACTGCAGCAAGCCCTTCTACGCTTATTTAGGATCTGTGCTTCTTTGGTTAGTTTGTCTTTCACACACGTTTCTCTATGATGAACAATTTTTCACATTTTAACATCTATGAAATTAGAATGCATTTTATAATCAGTGATGTGTCTCAGTTTAATTGTGGATGTTTTATTTTAGTGGTAAAAGTGAATTTCACCTTGATGACAGCTTAGATTCAGTAAAAGACAATTTTTTTTCACTTAATAATAAATTCTGGCTCGCAGGAGCATGGGATTACATAATTAGAAAGAGCTGAGGACCACATTTGTGGCTGGAAAGTAGAATGCTATCAATTTTTATTCAGTTTTTGCCCTTGCAAAACAGGAACCCAAAGACAGCAATGAAGTAAAGTAAGGGTCTTGTAAAGCAGAAGATAGTTTTAAGTAGTTTAAGTAGGGAAGTCCAAATTACAGAAGCAGTAGCACTTTTACTCTCTGGGAAAGAGGAATAATTTTATAGAAGCTAACCAAACCCATGGAAGTTCAGAGGAACAAACAGCAGAAATTGCCTCAGCAGGACAAAAAGTATAAAAGTGACTGCCTCCACTCTACATCACATAATGTTGCCTATCTAAAGATGGAAATATAACTTTTTAAAATTCTTGGAATTTTTCAGCCTGCTATAACAACACAAAGGAGTCTAAATGGAAATAGCAACCAGGAACCCAGTGAAGTCTATCCAGGAATCTTAGCCAGTGTAGTAAGTTAGCAATGAAGATCTATGCTTGAATATTCTTCTCTTGGGGCAAGAGACAGTAGACATTTGATCAAACAAGTCAAACAAATGTATAATTCTGTTTCACAAGGTAGACTTCCCATGAACAGTCATCTACTGCTACTCCCTATTCTAGAAAAACAACAGTAGGTCACCTCACAGAATACCAGATAAATTCACATTGGTTTCAAGGAGTCCAATATTATGGGTAAGGAGAATAGTAGACTGTAACAACGAACTGATATGTAGATTCTGACATTTACACATTTTTAGTAACGTTTTGGCTAGTTATATCCATCATGAAGTAAGGAACACTGATGCTGAAACACAATTTCTTTTTTTGAGATGGATTCTCACACTCGCCCAGCTGCCATCTTGGCTCATTACAACCTCTGCCTCCTGGGTTCAAGCGGTTCTCCTGCCTCAGCCTCCCAAGAAGCTGGGACTATAGGTATGCACCACCACACGCACTGATTCTTGTATTTTCAGTAGAGACTAGATTTCACCATGTTGGCCAGACCAAGCTGGTCTTGAACTCCTGATCTCAGGTGATCCGACAGCCTAGACCTCCCAGTTTGCTGGGATTACAGGCTTGAGCCACCACGCCCGGCCTGATCAAAAACTTTATATAGCCTGTAATCCCAGCACTTTGGGAGGCCGAGGCGGGTGGATCACGAGGTCAAGAGATCGAGACCATCCTGGTCAACATGGTGAAACCCCGTCTCTACTAAAAATACAAAAAATAGCTGGGCATGGTGGCGTGTGCCTGTAATCCCAGCTACCCAGGAGGCTGAGGCAGGAGAATTGTCTGAACCCAGGAGGCGGAGGTTGCGGTGAGCCGAGATCGCGCCATTGCACTCCAGCCTGGGTAACAAGAGCGAAACTCCGTCTCAAACAAACAAACAAACAAACAAAAACTTTATATAGCACATCAAGTTATCTTCTCCAGGACTTAAAAGTTAATGTAAAAAACTGTAATCTTCAAGAATATACCTGCCTTTGGGAAAAAATTATAATATTATACTTAGGTTTTATTTTTATTTTTGAGACAGGGTCTTGCTCTGTCACTCACGCTGCAGTACACTGGCATGATCATAGTTTACTGCAGCCTCAATCTCCTGGGTTCAAGTGATCCTCCCACCTTAGCCTCCTAATATACCCAGTTTTTAATTTTAAATAAGGATGTCTACACTTGCAATGTGTTATTTTCTGAGAAAGGTTTGAAAATGAGTCAAATCTTTTTTCATTCTCATTATTTAGAAATAAAATATGAGGGGCACTGTGGCTCATGCCTGTAATCCCAGCACTCTGGGAAGCTGAGGCGGGTGGATTACGAGGTCAGGAGTTCGAGACCAGCCTGGCCAGCATGGTGAAACCCCATCTCTACAGAAAATGCAAAAATTATCCAGGTACGGTGGCGTGTACATGTAGTCCCAGTTACTTGGGAGGCTGAGGCAGAAGAATCACTTGAACCTGGGAGGCAGAGGTTGCAGTGAGCTGAGATCCCACCGCTGTACCCCAGCCTAGGCAAGAGAGTGAGACTCTGTCTCAAAAAAAAAAAAAAAAAGAAAAAAGAAAGAAAGAAACAAAATAGAGCTGGGCGTGGTGGCTCACAACTAATCCCAACACTTTGGGAAGCCAAGGCGGGCAGATCACGAGGTCAGGAGATCGAGACCAGCCTGACCAACATGGTGAAACCCTGTCTCTACTAAATATACAAAAATTAGCTGGGCATGGTGGCACACACCTGTAATCCCAGCTACTTAGGAGGCTGAGGCAGGAGAATCCCTTGAACCTGAGAGGCAGAGGTTGCAGTGAGCCAAGATTGTGCCAATGCATTCCAGCCTGGGTAACAGCGTGAGACTCTGTCTCAAAAAAAAAAAAAAAAAAGGAACAAAATATGATTTTTTTTTTTTGAGATGGAGTTTTGCTCTTGTTGCCCACACTGGAATGCAATGCTGTGATCTCAACCCATCACAACCTCCATCTCCTAGGTTCAGGCAATTCTCCTGCCTCAGCCTCCCAAGTAGCTGGGATTATAGGCATGTGCCATCACACCTGGCTAATTTTGTATTGTTAATAGAGATGGGGTTTCCCCATGTTGGTCAGGCTGGTCTTGAATTCCTGACCTCATCTGATCTGCCTGCCTTGGCCTCCCAAAATGTTGGGATTACAGGCATTAGCCACCACGCCTGGCCCAAAATATGAGATTTTTAAAAGTAAGCCAATTTATGTTTAAAGTGCAAAACAGAGAGATATCCAAGATGGCTGATCACTAGCAGCTTGGGATTGTAGCTCCCAGTGAAAGCGCAAAGAACGAGAGGATGCCACACATTCACATGAATTTCTTGTTGTTCACACACCAGGAGATTCCCAGCGGAGGAGCCCCACGGGTTGCCAGCTCAACTCTTGTGACCGGCAAGGCGGTTTTGCCGGTGCCTCGGAGCGTCGGTTCTTGGTGCAGAGTCAGAAAAGCACCATCAATCTTAACGCTGCTGATTTAGTCGGCGCAGTGGGTTGCTCAGATTTCGGCGCTGAGAATCAATAAGTTGGACGTCCACTCAGAAACCCAATTACAAAGATGGTAATTATAAAGATCACAGATGGATAAATCTACAACGAAGGGAAGAAAACAGCCAAAAAAGGCTGAGAATACCCAAGATCAGAATGCCTCTCCCTCAGCAGGGGATCACAGTTCCTCATCAGCAACGAAACAAGGCTTGATGGAGAACGAGTGTGTTCCAATTACAGAAGCAGGCTTCAAAATGTGGATAATAAGAAACTTCTGTGAATTAAAAGAACTTGTTCTAACCCAATCCAAAGAAACAAAGCACTTTGAAAAAAGGTTTGACAAAATGTTAATAAGAATACACAACAATTTAGAAAGGAAAATAAGTGAACTGATGGAGCTGAAAAACACAATACGAGAACTTCGTGAAGTATGCACAAGTTTTAACAGCCGAATTGATCAAGCAGAAAAAAGGATATCAGAGGCCGAAGACCAACTCAATGAAATAAAACAAGAAGACAAGATTAGAGAAAAAAGGATAAAAAGGAACGAGCAAAGTCTCCAAGAAATATGGGACTATGTGAAA